GAATGCCTCTTTGATTTTTTTAGTTGGCCTCTTCGATATCTAGAATTGCCTATTCGATCTCTGAAATCCCATCGCGTGCTGATTTATATAGAGGTATGCAGGACGTTCAAAGCACACTTGAATTTTTGCCCGTAAAAACTCCCTCTTTGCATTTCTACGATCTTGACTTGTCCGACCTCTTCTTTCTTCAACACCTCAGAAAAATGTCTGGCCCTTCCGACCGTCGTTTTGACTTGAACCTTGGTGAAGAGGCAGTTCCGCCTTCTCCAGACAACATATGGCGCTCATCCTTCATATCCCCTATTGGTCCTCTTACCGTTGGGGATTCGGTGATGAAGAATGATATGACAGCTGCGGTGGTGGCCAGGAACCTTGTCACTCCCAAAGATAACAGACTACTCGCCAAACGGTCTGATGAGTTGGCTGTTAAGGAATCTCTGGCTCTCAGTGTGCAATGTGCAGGTTCCGTGTCCAATATGGCCCAACGCCTATTTGCCCGAACCCGTTAAGTTGAATCATGGCGGCTGAAGTGATGAGTCTCAAGCAGGAGATTAGAGGGCTTAAGCATGAAAATAAACAATTGCACAGGCTCGCACATAATTATACTACAAACATGAAGAGGAAGATTGACCAGATGCAGGAATCTGATGGTCAGATTTTACTTGATCATCAGCGGTTTATGGGTTTGTTCCAACAGCATTTGCCTTCGTCTTCTGGGGCTGTACCGCGTAGTGAAGCTCCAAATGATCAACCTCTGATGCCTCCTCCTTCTGGGGCTCCGCCGACTGCTGAAGCTCCGCCGACTACTGAGACTTCTCTTAAGCAGCCTTTGTGAAGGCTCCCTGTTGTATTTATATGCTTAATGTTCCTTTCGTTTTTATGAATGTAAAAATACCTTGCAAGAAGTTGTGGTAGAGATTGCAAAATCATTACCTGCATAAAGGAACAAAAGTAGGACTTAAACACAAAAACCAGAAAACAAGAGAAAAACAGAACAAGAACATTTAAAATTATTCAAAATAAAGAAGAAAGATAGAAAGCTTGGGTTGCCTCCCAAGAAGCGCTTTCTTTAACGTCTTGCAGCCGGACGATGCCTCCAGTCACACTCCCCTAGGTTCCATGGCATGGAAGTGAATTTCGAATGGAAGGTGATACTTGAAGTGATCCGGCATTTGGACTAAAAACTTCCCCAATTTGCAGTAAAATCAAATGATGACCCCCAAACTTTAATTCTGCAATCAACTCCAAGGGTGGACATAACCCAAATACAAAGAAAAGAAATAATTCAGTTTAGCACACAAGAAAATTGAAAATGACAAAAAAAGGCAATGAATATAAATATTGGGTTGCCTCCCAATAAGCGTTTGCTTTTACGTCCGCAGCCAGACGGTACCAAGAGTAATCATCCAAAGGGAACTGGTTCTTGAAGAGGTACAACCTCCACATCATGCTCCGCAAAAGACTCGTAATATGGCTTGAGTCTATGCCCATTCACTTTGAACATGTATCCGGTCTTTGCACTTTGGATTTCCACTGCACCATGAGGAAAAATATTTTTTATAACAAATGGACCAACCCATCGAGAACGAAGCTTACCTGGAAATAACCGAAGGTGAGAATTAAATAGAAGAACTTTCTGTCCAATGACAAAGCTCTTCCTTAAGATCATCTTGTCATGAAATGCCTTTGATTTCTCCTTGTATATTCGACTAGACTCGTATGCATCATTCCGGATTTCGTCTAACTCATTTAATTGAAGCTTCCTTTGCTTTCCGGCAACACTCATGTCCATGTTGTAGGCTTTGATCGCCCAATAAGCTTTGTGCTCTAACTCTACTGGAAGACGGCATGGTTTCCCATAAATTAACCGAAATGGGGACATTCCAATAGGAGTCTTATAGGCAGTCCTATAAGCCCACAATGCATCGTTCAAGCGCATGCTCCAATCCTTCCTACTAGGACTCACAGTTTTCTCCAAATTTGCTTCACCTCACGATTTGATACTTCTGCTTGACCGCTAGTTTGCGGATGATAAGGTGTAGACACCTTATGTGTGACATTGTACTTCCTAAGCAACGCTTCAAATGTTCGATTGCAAAAATGACTCCCTCCATCGCTAATGATTGCTCTAGGTATTCCAAATCTTGCAAAGATGTTACTCTTAATAAAATCTGAAACAACTTTTGAATCATTAGTTTTGGTGGCTTTTGCTTCCACCCATTTAGAAACATAATCCACAGCCAATAAAATGTAAAGAAAACCATTTGAAGATGGAAAAGGTCCCATGAAATCAATGCCCCACACATCAAAGATCTCAACAACCAAAATAGGGGTTTGTGGCATTTGATTTCTTGGGCCCAAGTTACCTGTTAATTGACAACGATCACATGTTGCACAAAACTCGTATGCATCCTTAAACAAACTAGGCCAATAAACACCACTCTCTAACACCTTTAGGGCTGTCCTCTTTGCTCCAAAATGGCCACCACATGCATAAGAATGACAAAAAGTTAGAATAGATTTAAACTCATATTCAGGTACACACCTTCTAATCAATTTATCAGTGCAATATTTCCACAAATAAGGATCATCCCACTCGTAGTATTTGGCGATTTTGACAAGCTTATCTTTTTGAGCACGTGTAAAATCATCCAGAATCTTTTTTATGACCTTATAATTGGTAATATCTGCATACCAAGGGTCAGTAATCTTTAATGAAAATAGTTGCTCATCTGGAAAACTTTCACGTAAAGGGATGAGATATTCCTTTGTGTTTGAATGCACAAGTCGGCTAAGATGATCTGCTACAACATTCTCACTCCCTTTCTTATCCTTGATCTCCAAGTCAAACTCTTGAAGCAGAAGTATCCATCAAATGAGTCGTGGTTTTGCATCTTTGTGAGTAGATACTTCAAAGCTGCATGGTCAGAAAACACAATAACTTTAGTCCCAATCAGATAAGATCTAAATTTTTCTAAAGCAAATACAACAGCTAGAAGCTCCTTCTCTGTTGTTGAATAATTCAATTGTGCATCATTGAGTGTTCGAGATGCATAACAGATGACATGTGGCACTTTGTTGACACACTGCCCTAGAACTACACCAACAGCATAGTCTGAACCATCGCACATTAACTCAAAAGGTAAACTCCAATCTGGTGGCATGATTACAGGAGCCGTGGATAACAACTCCTTAAGCTTATTGAATGCTACCACACACTCTTCATTCATATCAAATGTTACATCCTTTTGAAGTAAACGACACAAGGGTCTAGAAATCATTGAGAAGTCCTTCATAAACCTACGGTAGAAACCTGCATGTCCAAGAAAAAAACAAACCTCCCTGACAGTAGTAGGGATGGGTAAAGAACTAACAAGTTCTACTTTAGATTTATCAACTTCAATTCCCTTTTAAGATATGATATGCCCTAGAACTAATCCATGTGAAACCATGAAATGGCATTTTTCCCAATTTAACACTAGATTAGTTTCTTGACAACGTTTTAAAACTAAGGACAGATTATGTAGACATGTATCAAAAGAATCACCATAAACTGAAAAATCATCCATGAACACTTCAATTATTTTCTCAATCATATCAGAAAAGATACTTACCATACACCTCTGAAATGTGGCATGGGCGTTGCACAGTCCAAAAGGCATCTTCCGGTATGCAAATGTGCCAAATGGACATGTGGAAGTCGTCTTTTCTTGATCCTCCGGAGCAACTGCAATTTGATTATACCCAGAATAGCCATCAAGAAAACAATAATGAGAATGACCAGCTAGCCTTTCTAACATTTGATCAATGAATGGGACTGGAAAGTGATCCTTGCGTGTGGTGCTATTTATCTTTCGATAGTCTGTACAGACTCTCCAACTATTTTGCACACGTGTAGGCATTAGCTCATTAGCTTCATTCTTAACAATTGTGACTCCAGATCGTTTAGGGACTACTTGAATAGGGTTTACCCACTTGCTATCCGAAATAGGATATATGATGCCAATATCTAGAAGTTTGATAACCTCTTTTTTTACGACTTCCATCATGAGTGGCTTTAAACGGCGTTGAGCTTCCCTAGTTGGTTTTGCACCTTCTTCCAGCAGAATCCTATGCATACATGTAGCTGGATTTATACCTTTGATATCTGCAATGCTCCAAGCTATGGCAGTTTTGTGATCCTTCAGTACCCGGATCAGTTTCTCCCCCTCTTCTGCTGTGAGTTATGACGATATGATGACTGGTAATGTTTCATCCTCTCCCAAAAATACATACTTCAAATGTTTAGGGATCGGTTTAAGCTCCAATTTAGGTGCCTGAATCACAGAAGGAAGAGTTTTTTCATTAGAAGTAGGAAGAGAAATAAAATAGGAAGAACATTTACCACGAATTGGTGAAAGAGACTCAAGAGAGGCCACTGTTTGGATTAATTCTTCTTCAATGTGCTCTGAATAGTTAAAATTTCCATGTGTACTGCTATGCACTAATGCCTTCTCTAAATTATCTTGTCCCACACCTTTATTAAAACAATCCTGCACAAAATAGTCAAACACATCAATAGACAAACAAGATTCTAATTCACTAAGATACCTCATAGCATTGAAGATTCTGAACTTGACACTTTCCCCCTCAATTTCCATGGTTAAGGTACCATCGTAGACATCAATCTTCGTCCGTGCTATTCTAAAGAATGGTCTTCCCAATATAAGAGGAAGTGCAGTAGGCATAGGATCATGTTCCATCTCAAGAACAAAAAAGTCAGCGGGAAAAATGAGTTCATTCACTTGCACAAGTACATCCTCCAATAGGCCTTTGGGATATCTATTTGAACGATCTGCTAACTGGATTACTACCTTTGTTTCCTTCAACTCTCCAAGGTTCAATGACTCATACACTGAATATGGCATCAGATTGATGGATGCCCCCAAATCACACAATGATCTCCCAAACTCTTTGCCTCCAATTACACATGGAATGGTAAAGTTACCGGCATCTTTCAACTACGGTGGCAGCTTTCTCTGCAAAACAGCTGATACTTCCTCGCTTAATGCCACAGTTTCTTGATCATTGAATCTCCTCTTGTTCGTACAAAGCTCTTTAAGGAACTTTGCATACTTGGGCACTTGTTTTATGGCATCTAAAAGAGGTAAGTTCACTTGGACTTTCCGGAAAGTATCCAATATTTCCTTATCAGTTTGCTCTTTCTTAGACTTCATAAACCTACGAGGAAAAGGAATAGGGACACATGAGTTAAACGAATTTTGAACTTCTTTACTTACCTTATCAGAATCTTTTTTGTTAATTCTGTATCTTTATGAGACTTTTCAGTTTCTGTTGAAGCCTCATCTTGCTCAAGATTCTTGGTTTGCAGCTCCCCTTGTTCAATTGTGTCTTTTCTAGTCCTCTTTTGCATCCTCGGCTGCTCAAAAACTTCTTTTCCACTCCTTAAAGTCACAACATTCATCTGCTCCGCATTTGGATTCACCACGGTTTGGATAGGCAACCTTCCTGGTTGGTGTTGTTGCCCCATCAAACTTGCTAACTGACTCATTTGGCGCTCAAGGTTTTCAATTGCTTTGTCTGTTTTCTGTTGATGAGATTAAGTAGAGTTAGCTAAAGAAGCAATTAAATCCTCAAGAGACTTACTTGGAGCTTGTTGTTGTTGAGGCTGAAATGGTGCCTGCGGTCTTGCTTGAAAGAAGCCAGGCGGACGATTATAGTTGTTGGGAACAGATTGTTGTCCATTGTTCCACTTTAAGTGTGGATGATCGCGACATCCTGCATTATAGTTGTTGGAATATGGATCATACTTTTGCCTTTGTTGCCCTTGAAATCCTCCTAATGCATTAGCTTGCTCAAGACCACCTTGATCCATCAACGAAGGGCACATGTCCGTGGCATGTCCCATCATTGAACATACACCACACACCTGTTTTGGAGCCACAATAACCTGTTGCACAAGATTAGTCAAGTTAGCTAATTGTAATTCAATACTAGAATTAGCACTTACCTCGTTAACTTTCTTAAGAGGTAGCTCATCTCTCCCTCCAAATTGTCGTGTATTGCCAGCAATGTTCTTTAACAATGCCTTAGCATTAGTAGGCGTCTTGTCCATGAATGCTCCGCCACTTGCTGCATCAAGCATTACACGATCAGTACCATACAATCCCTCATAAAAGTATTGTATTAGTAAATGCTCTGAAATCTGATGGTTAGGACAAGATGCAACCAAATGTGTGAACCGCTCATAGTAATCTCCAAAGGGCTCTCCATGTTGTTGTCGGATTGCACATATGTCTTTCCTTATGCTTGCAGCTTTTGTGGCTGGAAAATATTGCTCCAAGAATGCTTGCTTCACCTGGTTCCATGTGTTCATTGATCCCGAAGGTAAATTGTAAAGCCACTCATTTGCCTTAGCTTCTAATGTAAATGGGAATGCCCTCAACTTGACTTGCTCCTCATCCACATTTGATGGTCTCATTCCTGAGCATACCACGTGAAACTCCATGAGATGCTTGTTCGCATCCTCTATTGAGAAGCCATTGAACTTAGGCAAGTAGTGAATCATGCCGGACTTAAGCTCAAATCCTCCTTCTGCATTTGGATATGTGATGCACAAGGGTTGTTGATCCGTATTTAGCATTGTCAACTCCCTCAATGTACGGTTATCAGCCATGCCTTCTTGTGATTCCTCCTCCTCCTCTTCCGAACTTAAATGTGGTGGAGAAGATGATGGTAAAGACACCGATGCACACTTTTGCTTGATTTTTCTCTGAAGCTTTCGAAGGGTTCGTTCAATCTCTGGATCGTAGGAAGCTAGATCAATGCTCTTAGACTTTCGAGTATGCATGTACTACAAAGAGTACCTGAAATAAAAACAAAAACACTAATTGGACAAGAAAAGAAAACAATAGAAAAATAAGTAATTTAGAAATAACAATCCCCAGCGGCACGGCGCCAAAATTTGGTAGGCATAAAAGCACACCACAAAGTAACACACAACTATCCTATTAATTTTCCTTATTAACACTAGGATTTGTCAATTGTAGCATATGAAAATAAGGGTCTTTCCCGCAGAAGATTGTTTTATCTAACTACTTAAAATGTCACAAAAACTAGTTGCGGTCCCTACTGACCAGCCACCAAAAAATAATTATTAGACTAACTTACACTGGTCTAAAGTCTATGAAATTTTACATGCAAATACTAGACACAGAGTACGATAATCTCACAAAATTTTGGAATTTTTGGAGTTGATTTTCTATTTAAATTAAATCGTACAAAAACAGTACAGAAACAGATTTTGAGTAGATCACAAGTTTGAGAAAAACGAGTTAGGGGAATTGTTATCCACCACCAAATAATCATGCAAACATGTTATGTTTCATTCAAATTCCTTTTATTTCCAGATGAAGATGCTCAAGTTGGCTCAATGTTAGAACACAACCTATTACTCTTTCTTACGTAGTATGTTAAGAGAATGGCGTTTTCAACTTAACGTAGTCCCTAGCATGCAATATAGAATGGCGTGTTCATAGATTTAACAAGTAGAAATCATTAAGAATGAAAAGAGTTTGAGTCATCACAAGGCATGGTAAGTACTGACATTGTCTTACTTATCCTAGAAATTGGTTCACATGTTAATCGCAATTAACAAGTACTACTCTAGAACATATGTAGGTCCTCATTCAACAAGGGCAGGCATACATATATTCATAGCATTTGAATCCTAAATATGCTTACTAAGTATGCATCCATAGAAAACATAAAAAGAATTCATCACTGACATAAGTAGTAAACCAATTTTCATCCATTCATAAAAGCAATTCAACGAAATGTCATAACAAACTTGCAATCATATTCGGGGCTTCAAAACAGCCCCTAACTACTTAAAATTTAGTTACACATAATTCTCAAATTAAACCAAAAGTAAAATATGGGTTTAAGAAGATAAAACCAAGAAAAATAGAGTGAAGCCTCTTCTTCTTTCCTTCCTTGCTCTATGCTTCTGTGCTTCTGCTCCCGCCAGTCTCTGCTTCTCTGTCCTCTGCTTCTGTGTTTTTTCTTTCTCCGCACACTTCCCTGCGCCTGCTTCACTGCCCTCCACTTCTGTGCTTCTGCTGCGCCTCTTCCTGCGCACTGCCTTCTGTCCGTGTCTCTCTGCGCTGTTTTTGCTCTCTCTCTATTTTCTGTTTTTATTCTTCTTTTTTTCGTTTCCTTCAGTGCGTGTCCTATCCTCTTGTCAGTCTCCCCACTCCCCACTTATTTCTTTTCTTTTATTTTCTTTTCAGCCAGCGCACTCCACTTCCTTCCCACTCTTCTCTGTCTGCCGTGTCTCTCCCACTGTCTATTTTTTTTCTTTTGTTTTTTCACTCCGTGCTCTCCCCCACTTAAGCCTTAAGATGTAGTGGTATTGTAGTGGTCTGTAACTTTGGATAAAGATAATTGAAATATTCTGGACCCATCTACACATAATAACGGACTGGATTAGGTTCAATTATACAAAACACAAAGTGTCATGTCTCTTTCTTTTTATTTTTCTTCACTTTGCTTGAAATTAATCTTAAAGCAAATTTAATTGCACACTAACACAAGGTAAGGTAAAATGCCACCATTTTAACACAAAAACATCACAAAGACTTTAGAAATGGATGGTATAAATGCATGAAATATATGAGTGATCAGTATTCCAACTTGTCCTTTGTTGTCAACTTGTTGCATATCAAGAGTACTGGTACTATGAGCAACAAAGCTTTTGGTGCATTGCTAAAATTGTTGAATGATGCCTTTCCTTTCTGTGAAAAGTTACCTACAAGCAACGATGGTGCAAAGAAAATTGTTGCAGAATTAGGTCTTCATTATGAAAAGATCGATGCATGCAAGAATGATTGCATTATTTATTATATGGAGCATGCAAATGCAACGCAATGTCCTACATGTAAGCTTTCGAGGTGGAGAACACAAGAAAAGGGTAACAAAAAGAAAGGTAAAAAGGTTCCCTGGAAGATTCTGAGATATTTTCCACTCACGTCAAGGCTTCAGAGATTGTATATGTCATCAAAGACAGCTGCAGATATGAGATGGCATTCTAAAGATCGTGTGAAAGATGGTGTATTGAGACATCCAGCAGATTCTGAGCAGTGGAAATCTTTCGATCAAATTCATGAGTCATTTGGTATTGAACCTCGAAATGTACGACTTGGTTTGGCAACAGATGGATTTAACCCTTTTGGGAAGATGATTCTTCGCCATAGTACTTGGCCAGTTGTCCTATTCCCATACAATCTTCCTCCGTGGATGTGTATGAAGGAGCCTTATACTTTCATGTCCTTACTTATACCTGGACTAACAAGTCCAGGTAATGACATAGATGTAAATTTGAGGCCATTGATTGATGAGTTGCAAACACTATGGGAAAATGGTGTGGAAACGTATAATATATCTACAAGGCAAAATTTTCAAATGAAAGCTGCACTTATGTGGACTATCAATGATTATCCGGCATATGCTTACATGTCAGGTTGGAGCACTCAAGGAAAATTGGCATGCCCATATTGTGCCTCTAAGACTTCACATCGCAGGTTATCTGATGGGTCAAAAATGTGTTATATGGGTCATAGACGATTTTTACCGTCTAACCACTCATGGCGCAAGCAAAAATGTAAGTTCGACAATACAAGAGAGAAAACGGTTGCACCCAGTAGACCATCTGGTGATGATGTTATACAAGAACTGGATGAATTAAGAAAAATAACTCATGGCAAGCAGAACAAGCAGACAATACCTGGGTTTGGAAGGAGGCATAATTGGAAAAAACATTCTATATTTTTTCAATTACCTTATTGGAAAACACTTTTGGTGCGTCATAACTTAGATGTTATGCACATCGAGAAAAATGTATTTGAGAGTGTGATTGGCACAATGATGAGCATTGATGGTAAGACAAAGGATTCTTTAAATGCTCACCTTGATCTTCGTGAAATGGGTATAAGGGAAAGATATCATCCAAAAGTAAGAGAAGATGGTAAGCTTGATTTTCTCCCAGGTGACTATACATTGTCAGACGATGATAATAAAGTTTTATGTAAATGGTTATCTGAATTACAAGTTCCAGATGGATATTCTGGAAATTTATCTCGATGTGTGGCTACTGGAGAACGTAGTATTTCTGGTATGAAGACCCATGATTGTCACATTTTCTTGGAAAGATTACTTCCCTTTATAGCTCGAGAGTTATTGCCTAAAGACGTTTGTGAGCCCCTTATTCAGCTTTCTTATTTTTTCAAGGAATTGTGTGCTAAAGTGTTGAGAGAAGAAGATTTGAATGTTCTTGAAAATCAAATTGCTATTACATTATGCAAGATGGAACAAATATTCCCTCCTGCCTTCTTTGACATCATGATTCATCTAACTTGCCATTTAGCATGGGAGGCAAAAACGGTAGGTCCAGTGCAATATAAGTGGATGTATCCTGTAGAAAGGTATTGTCAATTTTCAAATATTATTATTACATAACATTTTATTTGATATTAAGTTATATTCTGTAATTTCAATTTTTACTATTTGGTTAGGTATTTGCATAAACTAAAAGGTTATGTTCGTAATAAGGCTCGTCCAGAAGGATCTATTGCGGAAGGCTACTTGGGAGATGAATGCATAACATTTTGCTCTCTTTATTTGCATTGAGTTGAAACTAAGTTTAATCAAAGGGATAGAAATGATGATGGAGGTCAATCGTTATCTAATACATCTCGATTACCTATTTTTTCAACACCAGGTAAATCTTTTGGGAAAGGTGTACTTGAATCCTATGCATATCAAACTCCTTGAGGCTGCCAAGTTTTATGTCCTACAAAATTGTGATGAATGTTTACCTTTTGTTCAGTAAGAAATCTCTCATTACCATACGAACTTTCAACATTCGATCTTTTACTACTTATTTTTAGTATTACAATATTTTAATATATTAATTTAACTAACTCCTTGTTATATGTGCAGAGAACATAAGAATATTCTAATGCATTCTGGTGTTAGAAATGTGGAGGAGTCACATAGGCTTCAATTTTCAAATTGGTTTCATAAGAGGGAATGTATACTATATTATGTGAAAACTGTTGATTATTAGATATATTGTTTCTACAATATTTTTCTTTCTATATATGCAGATCAAACAACTATACTATGGTAACAAAGTTGATAAGCAAATGCTTTCATTGGCTCTCGGTCCGGAAAGGCGAGTAAAATATTACCCTGGTTACTATATGAGTGGGTTTCGATTTCATACATTGCAACGTGATGAGAATAAAAAAAACACAAAATTGTGGAGTTATAGTTAAGGGGGAGAATCAGATTGATAGTGTGCCTTGGTATGGAGTATTAAAAGACGTGGTTGAGCTTCGTTACACAGAAGGCAATAGAGTTGTATTGTTCAATTGTGAGTGGTATGACATTGTGTGAAAAGGAACAGGTTATAAGATAGATCGTTACAGAATAATTAGTATTAATACAACTCGCAAGTTGAATACTAAAGAGCCATTTGTGCTGGCAAACCAAGCAACCCAAGCTTTTTATGTGAGAGAGATTAAAACTAAGGCTTGGAGTTACGTGGTGGAAACGAAGCCTAGAAATGTTTATGAGATGCCTAATGTGGATGATGATGATGAGCCATACCAAGAAGAAGAGGCGCATGGGGGTACTCAAGCCAACCAAAATGATGACGAAGATGATGAAATTGTGGGATAAGCTCTCATTGTGATTGTGTTTTTTTTTTATCTAAAAATTTAGTTGCGGAAGTGATGTGGTTATACTTTATTCAATGTCAATGACAAATGTTATGATTTAACAAAGGCATGCAAATTATTTATTTATCATAGAATACTATATTAAGTTATACACTTTTTAGCTCAATGGTTTTATTTTTAATTTAATGGTCCAATTTTCTCCATATGTATTCTAAGTTATATGATCTATTTATTGTAGAATTTAAATTAAGCATCAAACTTATTTCAAGAATATTCAAATGACACATGTGACCTTTAGTAAATAATTGATTCCAACAAAACCATATGCCTTAAAAAATTTGAGTCCTCATTGATGTCATCCAAATTGTAGTTTGTCAACAATGTAAAAAATATTATGAAAGTATTAGCAATAAAAGACATTAATAAATATAAATATATAAATTTTACATGAAAAGCATTAAAAAGGTAAAATTACTTACCTACAAATGATTGTGCACCGTGTTCTTCAACTTCTCCAGCATCGCCTTCCAAGACTTCCACCGCATAGGGCAAAAGGTCCGCACAACATGCCCAATGTCATGGGCCAATGCGTTATGCTACTCCACTGTTGGTGATGCCTGATGTCGCTCATCATATCCGGTTGTGATACGACCGTTGGTCACCCGGAGACCTTCGCCGTCTTCAATTACCGACAAGGTCCCCAGGTGTTTTTCTTGGCTGCAAAGAAATGAAAAATTAACGTTAACCCAAAACTAATAACAAATCATACTAAAATTTCGGCATATCCTCCCTATAATTAAAACATTTCCCAAAACCCTGAAAACAACATAAACAATATACGTATCCAACACAATGATCACAACAGTTTAATAATAGGTTCAGAACTATGACAACAATAAACAATATATATATATGATAACTTTTTAATCCTTAAATGACATAACTTAATAAACTGAACCTAAAATCACAAAACTAAGTTAACATGGGAATGAGGGAGTAAATTAGGATAGTATACCTGGCTGTGTACCCGAGGCATCGGTTGTGGATCCCGATGGCGACATCTGGTCTGGAGTGCAGGGGCACCAATGAGCACGTCAAGCGCTAACAGGTAGCACCATCGAAGAAGTCTAAGATGTCGGCACCTGTGGGACTGGAGGACCAACTGGGTCAACTGGATTCACCAGCCTATGGTCCATCTCTGCAAAAGTAGCGGCGATAGTAGTAGTTGTAGTCGTCGAATGAGGTGTAGAAGTCATCACCTTCCGGGTTCTAAGGAGCTATGACATCTACAAAATTGGAAATAAATTTGTTAGATTACAAAGATTTAAATTACCGTACACATGCATAATAATTTCTACTTGAGTTTAAAACGAAATTTAAAAACCCTAATTCTAAACCCAATTCAAGTTTGGCAAAAATAAAACTTTAAATTGATCTACTATACACAAACTAATCAATGTTAGATAGGATATAGACCTAGCAATTATAACTTATAAGAATAAACTAGCACAAAGGAGTAGTTGGAGGCAAAATCATAGCTCAACAGCTTATCATGAAGAGTGTGCAGTTTAATACTAATTTGAGTACTATAGAAAATGCTGAACTGATACTCTTCAATACAATAGAATGTATGCATGTCATATACAATCATAAAATTGTTACAATCATAAAACTGCAATGTCGAGTTGAAAAACAAGCAAAGTTGCACATCTTGAACATTTGAAGACAATCTTCAATGATGGGGAATCTTATGAAGAAATATACAAATTTATGGAACTTACATAGTTCCATATGTCAGAAAATAAAATGCATATATGCAGGTATCTATATTAGTCCCCAACCAATAGTATAATCGATTGCTCTAAGGCAGCAGCAGCTACTACACTTTTACTTTGTTAAAGAAGTATCAAGTCTGAACCATTTAAAATCACAATAGATTTGTTCACTTGCAAAGATAAAATCACAATCTTCTTGGTGATATTATATGTGGATTTGATATATATATATATATATATGAATTTCATCTCATATTTGTTCTACCATCTAATATTTATATATATATATGAATTTCATGTATGCTAATTTTGTGTGCGTGTTGTGTATCCATGTACTCCACGTACTTTGAGTGATGAAATAAACGTACTCATCACGTAAGGGTCTGAAAATTCAATCTTCCCGCATAAAATTAAAACACTTGCGTAACCAAAAATTGTTGTGTGTCGCGCAATTATGTTTTAAAATGGCTTTTTTATTTTTTTATTTTGATTACAATTTATTATAAAATACGAATAAAACAATTTATTTACAAAGTAATTCACATATAACATGGGAATCATTCATACCATTTTTCTTTCATCACTGTATATAATGCATTAACCATTTAATGTGTTTTACAAAAAAAGTTACAAATAAATTGCATTAATCTTCGTCTGAACTATAATAAATTTCACTTTCGTCGCTATCATCATTTTTAGTGTCCCATTCCTCATCATCAATAGGTACGTCACCATTGTCGTTTGTACGCACTGGACCATCGTATCGTGGAAGATTACCGAGGTCAATTGTGATCGATTGAATTGGTATTTCGATTGAAGATACTCTTCCTATCTGAAATGGTTCTTGGATAAGATTAGTATCTCGAAGTGTTTCCACACCAATTTCCATCAAAGATTCTAGACGTTGGTCAGCAACATTGTCAATGTCGTCGTCGGTAGGGTTTTGTTCTGGTATAGCATACAAGTTCCTAAGATCCATCTTTTGAACAACTTTCCAACCCCTCCCGGCTTTAGGGTCATCTAGATACACAATTTGTTTTGCCATATTTGCTAAGATGTGAAGGTCGTCATCGTACCAAGTTTTGGTAGTGTTCACTGATAGTAATCCATGATCTCTTTTCACACTTCCCTACCTATTTGGGTTTGTATCAAACCATCGACACTTAAGTAGGATCACTTGGCACCGGTCTTCGTAACACAATTATCGACACTTGTTAGTTTGCCATAGAATTCAATGTATGTACTTTCGCCTCCACTTGGGACATGAACACTGCTATTTTGTGTACACAACTTTTCATCTCGTGCACCCGCTAAGAACTTGACGTCGTTGACATGGCAACCCCGAGTACAATTCAACATGAATTGGTCATATAATTCTTCACTGTACACTGGGGAATTCGATGCTTTCAATTGATTCACCTAATATTACATAAACATTTAAATTTGTTAGTTTGAGAAAAATAATTGGTACTATATATATGCCCAATACAAAACACTTGAAACTTACATATTCAAGAAACCACTGCGGAAACCATTCACGGTGTTTCATGGCATACAAATGTGAAGGATGTGTCTGCTTCATCATATCTTCATGCTTGTTTATGTATGACAGTGTCTCATCACAATTGTTGAGTACGAACCAATGTGATACCCCCATGTCTCGTCACAATTGTCGAGCGATTTGGACAAAAACTAAAAGTTTCTCCTTTCTCACACCCCCATCATTATTGCGAGGAGGATGATTGAAAGGTGTCCCAACATCCTAAAATACATTCCACGAAATGTAAGCGCCTCATATGCCACCCAAGCTTGTATAATTGATCCTTCGGGCTTCGCTTTGTTTCATACACTTTCCTTCAAGTCTCCGAGAAGTCTGCCAAAATAAAACAATACGATACAAATTTTACTAATCGTAAGATATTGATTAATAAATATGACGATGAATATATATCTTTCTATTGGATACATCTATCGAAAGTTGTCTAGTCCAGCAAGCAATGCCTCATCCAGTAAGTGAACCATCATGTGGATTATACTTGTGAAGAAAGCTGGAGGAAATATCATCTCAAACTTGCATAGAACTTGCACAATGTCATGGCACAATTGATTAACGTCCGTCTTTCACAAAGTTCTTGACATCAATTGTAAAAAAACAAACTAGACAACAATATGATTGGTTTCACTGCATCGGCTGGCAAGAGATGTCGAATACCAACAGGAAATAGGCGTTCCAGAACCACATGGCTAATTTACCCCCGTCAACATTCACGCAACGCGCGATATTTGAAGCATACCCATCGAGAAACTTTACAGACGATAAAAACTTTAAAATTTATTCTTTGTCATTCGGTTTCACGAAAAAAAAATGTGAGACCCCTTCTGGCTTTATCAATGTCCCTATTCATCCATAAACCCCGTCGTATTCCCATTCGTTCCAAATCAAGAAGAGCTTTGATGGTGTCCTTCATCCTGCCCTCAATATCTAGAATTATGCCGACCAATGTGTCAAATACATTTTTCTTAACATGCATAACATCAAGGTTGTGTCTCAATTTTAGTTTCGATCAATAGGGGAGCTCAAAAAACATAGACTTGTGCGTCCAGTTCATATGTGTAGAAGGTCTGATCCTACTGACATTGGTTTCGAACGGAGCAAAATCCAACCAATTAAGCTGTTCCAAAATCTGATCACCAGACCATTCTCTAAGTCTAAGGCGATGCTCTTTTTCCTCGTCAAACTTTTTATCCTTCTCTCGCCACTCGTGGTCCTATGGTAGCCATCTTCGATGTGCCATCTTCGATGACCAAAGTTGCAAACTTTTCTAGTGTACCAACTAGATGTTACGTCTTCCTTGCATACAGGGCATGCCATATAACCCCTAGTGCCTCACTCGAAAACCATTGCATATGCAAGGAAATCGTTCACAGTCCACATCACTGCTGCCCACAAAGTGAACACTTTGCCAGTACACTTATCGTATATGCACACATCGTGTGTCCATAAATCTTTTAGCTCATCCACCAACAACCGTAAGTATACATCAAGACTGACCTACCAAGATCCTCAGTTATCAATAGAGTCATCATCATGTATTCTTTTTTCATATATTTCCATGGCGGCAAATTATACGAAAATACAAAAATCGGCCAAGTACTGTGGTGTTGGTTTAGAACCCTGAACGGATTGAATCCGTCAGTGGCAAGTCCCAATCTAACATTCCGAGGA